CATAAAATGTGTATGAACAAATATAAATATTTTATAAAGGTGTTTGCATTTTCTTGTTTTTGTTTCATTCATTCATTTCATTCTCTTTCATCCCTCCCAGCCAGCTCCCTCCTACACACTTTTTTTAAGGGAAAATAGGCGGTTTGCACTCGGCTCCAATGCTTTTTTCAACAATGCCCTCTTTTTCAAACTCATTCAAAAACACCATCTATAAAAGCTCCATATTGGCCACGTATTGCTTGTTTATTGCATGTATATTGATTGTCAGTTATATAATTGGGAGTATGGAGTTTTTGTATTGCCTTCTTATTGTCGTTGTATTGCCTCTATATTGCCGTTGTATCACCTTTATTTCCAAGTCTTTCTTGGAAATAAAATTATATAGTTGGGAGTATGGAGTTTTTGTATTGCCTTCTTATTGTCGTCGTATTGGTTTCTTATTTTGTATTGCTTTCTTATTATTTTCGTGTTGCCTTTGTATTGCTATTCTATTTTCGTTGTATCACCTTTTTTTTTCAAGTGTGTCTTGGAAATTTTTTGCTAGGTTTCAGACAAATAAATGTTTCTGTTTCAAACAAAAATTTAAAGTTCATCAATGCCAATCCACCCATTTCAAGAACAAATATTAGAAATTGGGTTTGCAAATCTGTCGGTTGAGATTCGCCTTCAATTGGGTTTGCAATTTTCGAGATTTAGGCTTCAAGCTTCAGTTGCAAAAGGTAGAAATATTTTTGAGGGAATTAGGGCTAGAAACCAATAAAACCCCAAGATCCATAAAGAGGAGAGATGATATGTAGAATTGGGGTTTCATCTCATCTTGAAGCTTCAAACTAACTCACTTTATATTCTTTTGTGCCTTCACTTCATCTTCGAATATAGAAAGGAGATGCAGAAGAGGTAATTCCACCAACTACGTGGTGTAGTCGGAACATGCAAAAATTACACGAGAAAGAGACCACAAACAGCCGAGAAGAAAAGAAAAATAAGCGAATGAGAATCGACAAAAAAGAAAAAAGAAAAAGAAAAAAGGGCAATGCGCTTCTAATAGGGAGCTTTTACAGAGGGTGTTTTTGAATGAGTTTCGAAAAGAGGGCATTATTGAATAAAGCATAGGAGCCGGGAGCAAAGCGGTCTATTTCCCACTTTTGTAAGGGTATAATGTGATGTGAGTAAGGGCTCGTTTGGGAATGATTATGGAAATGTCAATAATCATTTTCATGAAGAATCACTTCTCCATATAATCACTAATGGTGTGTTCACTAATGGTGTGGTTGGGTGTGGGTGGCTTCGTTGTTCTACTCCTATTCTGGATCTACTTTGTCCGGGGATTGCCTCTGTGTTTCGGTGGCTTGGGTGGTTTCCCTTATGGCCGCCGCTGTTGGTTTATTGTTTCCGTTGTTGTGTCGCTGGCCATTTTTTGGCTATGTTTGTTTCTTTTGCAGATTTGAGATTTGATTCATGCTGGAAAACTATTTTAGATATGTGATTTGGTGGCAAACAGGGTGACCAAGCGTACTGTGCGATTCTCTTCAGCCTTTTGTGTTGCTTTTGTTTTCAACCTGTTTGTGGTGTTGATCAATATTCTCTTCTAGTTTTTACTTGTAAGAGCCTCTAGTGCTTGATATGCATTTTCTCTTCCTACCAATGGCGGCTATTTCTCGGCACCTTCCCTTCACCACCATCTTCAGCGCCTCGACCACACGAGGGTCTCCTCTCCTTGGTGACTCTTATGCAGTTGGGATTGCTTTTAAAGTGCTTATGTCACTTATTGCTTGGATTATGGTAGCGCTCTTTGTAGCTTTGGTGGCTTGTCCACCACCATTTTCTGTCTCGAGCATTGGTTACTGGTTTCTCTTTGGTGGGTGTGGGCTTGTGTTGATTATGTTGCTGTTTGGTTATGGGTGGTGTGGCATTTCCTTGTTCTGTATTCACTGCCTTCTGTGTGCACTTTGCTTTTCTGGGCTTTATGTCATCTTCAAGTTTTATGATGTAGTAGGTTTTATGCCTTCTTATGTTGCAGTTGGTCGAATTCCTTTGTGGAGCTCACTTTGTTGTAATCGGCTTTTGCCTTCTATCTAATAAAATTTGATTCCCACAAAAAAAAAAAAATATAAAATATAAAATAATATTTCCACTAGTTTGGTTTTCTCAATTTTTCAAAGTCTAAAATTGGAACCAAACCGATCTGAATCGGTCTGATTTGGTTCTTGATTCTAGGTTGACTTTTTTTTGTTGTCAAAATGGTTTTTTTTTATTCAGTTTTCACCGGTGCAAATACCTATACCTAATTCTTACTTCATTGAAACATGTTTTAATAATATATTATTCAATTTTAATTAAAAATAATATTTTTAATTAATCTATTAATTATTAATGTGAGAAAATAATTAAAATTCTGAAAAGATAATATTAATCAAATAGTGTATTGTGTTTATGTTGGTTTTAAAAAATAAATTTTTTTAAACTAAAAATTTGTATATAAAATATTTTATTTAAAATAAGGGCATTTTAATAATTAAATGGGTTTCAATTTTGATTGAAGGAACAACTTATAAGAAACCATATCCTTCCCACCATTCCAAATAGTTTAGTAAATAATTTGACCAAAAACAAATTGCTATTATAAATATATAAAAAAGCCTGGTGTCCAAAAAAAATATTAACATTAATGCTTGTGCCACATCATGTTTTAGCTGACGTGGTTAAAAGTGTAATATTCAAGGATTTCTTCCTTTCTCATACCGCTAAGCCCTCCCTCCCTCCTTTCACTCCGCTCAGCCGCCGTCACTCACTCTGTTCTCTCTCTTTCGGGCTGTCTGTCTGTCTCTTCTCTCTCCCTCTCTATCTATCTCTTTGCGTGCGCACAGTTACACTTGCGAAGCAAAATGATAAAGCGGCGATTCTACAAGCTAGAACATGGCGACAGAGATGGTCCCTCGAATTCATCTTCATCCTCCTCGGATTCTGAAATAGAACCAGAAGCCGTAGAGGACTCAGATGATGATGATGTAGTTGAAGAACTCGAGGAGGATGCTCAGGCTTGCTCTACCTCCTCTGGTTTTTTCATCCTTTCCTGATGTTATAATTTGTTGAAATTTATATGATTTTATTTATTTGTTTATGTAATGTGGGTATTGGTTAATATTGCTGAATTGAGTTTTTCTGTTATTTTCTTGGCTTCCAGGATATCAAAGTGAGGGTAGCTCAGCAAATGAAGTTCCTGGTGACTCGTCAGGTAGGGATTGTTTGAAAGCAAATAACTCTTTGTAGATTGTATCAGTGAATTTTGAGTTGTTTGCATTGCTATACAGCCACCAATTTTCCTTTTTTATTGTGTTTCTGATCCTCTTATTTAAGTTAGAGACTATTGTATCTTTCCTAATTACCTCTACCCATGTTATTTATTTTTGGTCTTCCTCCTCCGGGGAAAATTAAAAAGAAAATAAAAAGAAAAGAAAAAGAAAACAATAGTTTAAAAAGGGGGAGAAAAGACAGGCCTTTATATACTCCTGCATTGATGTGTTGTTGAACATGAAAATTATGCGACCCGTGGTTAGGATCGGCATTAAGTTGATATGGAAGAATGGGTTCCAATCACATAACAGGCAGCTTGTTATGCCTTTTTGCGTTGCTTAAAAGATTGGTGGAGACAACATATGTCGGGCACTCTCTGCATTGATGATCTTTGTCATTAATTCTTTTCTTGGTGTTTTCATTATGAATATGAAGCCACTCCAAGGATTTGGTGTCTCCAAAGTTGTGGATTCTGATAATCCCAATTTCAAGCCTGGCGACTTCATTTCAGGGATCACCGGATGGGAAGAATACAGCTTGATTCGCACAACTGAGCTGTCGAGAAAAATTAAGCCAAATGACATCCCTCTATCATACCATGTGGGTCTTCTTGGTATGTTAATCTTGTATGTATTATATATATATATATTTGAGAAATTGCAGTAAGTATTTTATATTCATCCCTTTATCATACTTCTAATATTGGCCGTTGGATTGCATTAATTAAATATGTTGATAGTCTCTTGGATGCAATCCCTCTATGGTACTTCTAACTTTAAGTCCACAGTCTATACATCGAAGTCTTGGGCTCCAATGTTTTCCCTTATTTAGTTTCGCTGTCTTGCCTATGTATATTTTGCACATAAAGTGGTACTCTTGTAGTCACTGAATCTTCACTTCGGACTGCAAATAATGACAGAAACACTTTTAAGTTTTAATAGTTGAATGCTAATGTTAAAAACTGAGAGTTATATAATCTGACCATTCCTTTGTATGATACGGGAGAGCAGGTTGCACTTTCTACGCATAGCTTCAACTTTACACCCTTCCGTGTATGTTCTCTTCAACATATTCTATTCTGGGAGTCCTGCTTGTGATTTTTAGGCAATTATGGCACATACGGATAATTGTGCGTTCAATCCCGTATGAGTATGAGAGAAATTTCTTGATGGTAAGGGAGAGCAGATCCGGTTTACTCATTATGTACACAGTTTCTAGGTTATATCCCTCTATTTGTATTTTCTTGGGAGATGAGCTTGTGATCTTTGGGCAATTGTAGCAAACATAATGATATCTTCAAGTTAGTAGCAAGGAGAGGAAGTGAGGATTCAAATCAACCCTGCTTAGACTAGGAGGAAAGAGGGGGAAAAAAAGAGACAACTGTGCAGTGTTTGGCTACTCTGCTTTTGTTAGATTAAAAAAAATTTGTTTAGTTTAAATTTAATTTTTCTCTGTTTAGTTCTTAAATCAGTGACCAAACTAGAATTTCTTCTATCAGGTATGCCAGGTTTCACTGCATATGCAGGATTCTATGAGGTCTGCTCCCCTAAGAAAGGGGAATCTGTTTTAGTTTCTGCTGCTTCAGGAGCCGTTGGGCAGCTTGTTGGCCAACTGGCTAAATTGCATGGGTGCTATGTAGTTGGAAGTTGTGGCTCAAGCCAAAAAGTAAGGTCTCATTTCTGTTGTTGTATTATTATACATTATTAGTATAGTACATATACTTATAAATCATTTTGCTTTTCTTTTGTCCAATTCAATTCCTCCTAATCCAATCACGGATTAGTAAACATGCCATAAAAGTGTTTATATAAAGAAGAGAAATACTTCTACCCAAAAGTGATTCTAACCTATATAAAATCACTCTCAAACGAGCCTAGCCTAAGTAGACTTGACCCCCAAAAATTAAAAATAAGAATAAAAGTAAGTAGTAAAGCAGCAGCACGTGCAAGTATTCTAATTCATGAAGAACTAACCCATTATATCCTCACATAATTTTTAAAATTCCAAATTTGCCATCTACTTTAACCCAACAACGAGAACATTTTAGTAATTAGTATCACTCCTACCCCAATTCCATATGGTTTAGTAAACAACTTCAATAGAAATCGGGAATCTAAGGGCCTGTTCGTTTATGTTTTGAGAGCCCATTTTCATTTTGAGAGAACAAAAACAAACAAAAAACTTGTTCGGTGGGCAAAAACATAATTGAGGAATAAGCTTGGGTTTGATGAAGCGTTTAACTACAAGGAAGAGCCAGACCTGGGTGCAGCTTTGAAAAGGTAAGTGATGAGTTATGTTGAGAGTATATCCCACATGGCATGGGGAATGTAATGAGCCTCTCCATCAATTGCCAATTCAATTTATTATTATTATTTTTTGGTACCAGGTACTTTCCTCAAGGCATTGACATTTACTTTGATAATGTGGGAGGGGACATGCTTGATGCAGCACTTGTTAACATGAAAATTCATGGTCGAATTGCTGTTTGTGGAATGGTCTCTGAGAAAAACCTCTCTGATCCCCAGGGCATCCGCAACGTATACAATCTCATAACAAAGCGTATCAGGATGCAGGGATTCCTGCAAAGTGATTACATACACTTGTTCCCACGCTTCTTGGAACATGTCATTAGTTACTACAAGCAAGGTAAGATTGTTTACATCGAAGACATTAATGAAGGCTTGGAAAGTGCTCCATCTGCTTTTGTTGGGCTATTTTTGGGAGAGAATGTTGGTAAGCAAGTCATTTGTGTAGCCCATGAATGATTCTAGCCTATCAAAACAAAACATGTATTGAATATTATATTTTAATAAATAAGACATGACCAAGTTGAGGCAATTTACAGCCGGTATATAATTTATAACGTGTCATGACTATTTTAGTCTTTTTACCATAAGTGATGATGTGTTAGATGCATGTCCCATTTTTTCTGCTTAAGTTGTCTAAAATATTAATTAAATAATTAAATAATGTAATTACTTGTTAATATAAAAAAAAAAATCAAAAATGGAAAAAAATTAATATTAACAAAATCTCTTCTTCTCCATCTCTCCCCCTCTGTCGTCCCCTCTCCTTCCCCTAACTTCACACCATAAGACCACAACCACCACCCAACCCAAAGCCACCCTCACCACCACCACTCCAACCTTACCCAACATCACCCACCCAGCAACCAACCCTTACCATCCTCCCACCACACAACTTCTCAAGACACCCTAACCTCTCTCTATGTTCCTCTCTCTTCTCCCAAGCCTAGCCCCAACATCCATATAGTCACCCACCCCGCCACGACCTCCTTCTTCCCTAGCCCCTTATTCTGAACTCGTCCCCTCTTTCCCAGCACAACCCATCAACCCAAACCCTTAGTCTACTCCTAAAAACATGACCTCCATCAACGACGACTGGATCTGGAAATTTCTTTGCTATCCAAATACCAAAACATGTATTTACTAATCTAGGCCAACTTGAATATCTCAATCTCTCCTTTAAGCCAACTCAGGGAGCTCTAGACTTGATCTTCAAAACAATTCCTTAAATTTTCAATCCCTATGGTGGGTATGGAAAAAATAATATATGTACTAATTTTTTTTTTTGAAACTCACATATTGATTACATAATGTTGTATTAAAAAAAAAAAAGGCATTTTAATTAAAGTTACATATTCATTGTTTTTGTCATTTTCACATATTACTGCCAGACGCGTTTTCACTATTTTTGTTTTTTGAAAACAGTTTTCAACTAAGCTACCAGACGCGTTTTTATTCTCTGAAAATGCGTTTTCATTTTCTCGTTTTCATTCTATGAAAACATTCTCTGAAAATGCTCTCTAAAAACATTAGGAGGGGTTGGTGTGCGGTGGTTGTTGGGAAAAGAGAGAGATGAAGAAGAAGATAATTTGTTGATATTAATTTTTCAATTTTTTAATTAAATAAGTAATTAATTTTTTTTATATAATTAATATTTTAGTCCACTTTAAACAAAAAAAAAAAGTGAAGTCTGCACATGACACATCATCACTTGTGGGGCCCTAACTCTCCTCAATTCATATGGTTTAGTAAACAACTTCGATAAGAATTCAGAATCTAATTCGCCTCAATCCAACTCCTCCTCAATTCAATTCCTCCTAATCCAATCACGGATTAGTAAACATGCCATAAAAGTGTTTATATAAAAAAAGTGATTCTAACCTATATAAAATCACTCTAAAACGAGCCTAGCCTAAGTAGACTTGACCCCCAAAAATTAAAAATAAGAATAAAAGTAAGTAGTAAAGCAGCAGCACGTGCAAAAGGGTAGTGGGTGGTAGGTGGTGGTAGGTGTCAATGTGTCATAATGCTGAGCGGTAACACTAGTAAGTGCTCTGTTGCTATCTAACCAAGTTTGTTTTTCTCCCGCACAAGATTATACTCGGTAGCAGTAGCAGTAGCAGCAGCAGCACCAGGAGTAGAAAGTGAATCAATCATTGTTTCTTTCAGTTTCGATTGTTTCGATTGATTTGATTAATAAACGCCCGGTAAGCCATTTGGTACCGATGCGGTACAGGCCAAAGGCTATCCGATGCTTAATTTAGAATAAATATGGATTGATTAGTAATTTGGACAGAGTAATGTTGCAGTTACCTCATTTTTGGGACTTGTGCCCACTTTTATAGGTCTTATGAGGTGTGCATCTTGAGTGAAACTTCAATGTGGGATTGTGGATAGTGTCTGTGGTGGCTCCACGTGTTCCAGTGAGAAACGATAGATAAATGGGTCTCTTACGTTGTGTTCGGTAGTAAGAAAGTGTCGAACACTCCTCCTACTGATGATGCCTTATTTTCCACGTGTGATCTGTTCATTAGCCGATCAAATAGGGTATAAACACCCAAATCATAAAATAAAAAACCACATCTATGGATCTAAGTAAACAATCTCTCCCAAAACCCAGCCAACAAAAAAACTCATACTCAAATCAAAGAATGAATCATAAATCACCGAAAAATTCCTAAACCATAACCATAAATGCGTAGTGGAGGTCTCCCTCTTTTGGAAATGGACTAAGATGGAAAAACAGAGTTAGATTTCCCAAATTAGGGCAAATTGAAAGAAAAACGAAAACAATTAAAAGAGTACAGGTTTGGAGAGGAAGGAGGGAGATAACGAGAATATGCTTAAAAGTGGTGTCTTTTCAAATCAATTTCTATTGACATGGAGGGGCATTTTAGTCCAATCCTGCAGCCCCTCCCCAATCACTCCCACAACCACCCCAGCCCTTCATGTAGCTTTTCTTACCCTCTAGCTTTTGTTTTCAAGAATGTGGGTTCATGAGGAGAGGTTTTGAACAAAGCTAGGTGAAAAGTACCATCCACCTTAGAAAGCTTTAGAGAGAGAGAGAGAGGCTCCTCCTTCTCTCCTTCCCCATCGCCCTCTTCTGAGCAGTTGGTGGTTGTGCAATCGCCCTTCGGGGCGACACCTCCACCATCTCTTGTGTGGCTTCTTTGCCACCCTCTGGTGTGGCTTTTCTTTCTCCTTTTTTGTCTATTTGTTCTGGTTTGCCCTTCCTATCTTGATTTTCCAGATGTAGGCCCAGATCTCCTCCACATCTCATTCTCCACTACTTTTCAGCCATTTCACCTTTCTCACCCTTTTTTCCTCTCATACACACCCCCATTAGTCCATTTCTCTCCCCCTCCCAAAAAACTCAAACCCTAAAATCCTCCTCTTTCCCCATAATTTTCTTGGATGGCTACTTGTTTGTTGCTGCTGCTTCTCCCATACAACCCATTCTCATATCTGAGATTATGTTATGGAGGTGTGGGCTTTGTAGTTTAATGGTCCATTTGGACCAATACCTCCTCCTAGATCGCTTGAGCATGATGCATGTTGGTGGCTTGCTTCCCTAATCCCACGCTCTACAGATCTCCTTTGTTGGTTCCCTTGAACCTTCTTCTTCTGGCTATAGCGGCGACATATTAGGTGGCGGCGACTGCTTGTTTCTAGTGTTTTTGTATTGGGCTTTTATGCAACTCTCTATGGTAATGACATGTTCATTCCTTTGACCAAAAAAAAAAGAAGAGGTTTTGAACTATGCATAAAATTAGGGTTGGATTTTGATGAGAGAGAGAGAGAGAGAGAGAGATGGAAATGTGGTTGTGGAGGGAGGGGAGCGGGTTGGGTCGGGAGGAGATGAGGAATGGGAAAAGTTGGTTGTGGGGTGGTTGGGTAGGGTCTATAGGATTGGACCGAAATGCCTCTTCATGTGAACAGAAATTAGAGTAATTTGATAGAAATTGAGGATTGTCCTTGAATTACTTTAGAATTCAAACTACATGGATGCAATTGACCAAATTGAAACTATAAGGACCTCAATGATAAAAATTGTAACTACAAGGACGAAAAATGACTTTTTACCTTTTATTTATTATGAAAATAGCTCTCATAAAACGTATTTTGGTTGGGAGCTGATTTTCTCACTCCCATTTTCTCCACATATGCTCCCTTTTGCTTTTCAATGCTTTTTAATCAATTTTGTTATTTTTTTGTTCTTTCTCTTTCCCATTTTACCCTAACCCCACATTAAAGTTTTGATAACTAAAATTAAGAAAAGTTAACAGAAAATAACAACAGAGAATTTTAGACATGGTGGGCATCGGTGATTTGAGTGGAATGACAGAGTTTAGTAATTCTTCTAATTCTTAAGATATTATGCATGATACGTTTAATTTCTTACGTAATATAACTTTATTAGCAGTGTTTCTTACTAAGATATTATGCTTAATAGGCGTTTTTCCAGGTAATAGTGGAACTTTGGGTTGTCATATAAGAATGAGAAATTTCTTGAGAGTTTATGATCATGTTTTGTTTTTATTTTCGGGTTAGTTTATGTGTTGAGTAATGGGCAGTGACAGAGCCACTATGAGGTCTTGGAAGCCATGGAAATGGCTCTAGAGGTCGTACAGGTTTGGCAACTCATGTTGTGATGGTTTAAGTCCTCTTTTGTATCTGTTACTGAAGTTGTGATTTTAGTTCAAGCTCTGGTATTGAGTATATGAGGATTTTGTTTAATCTAGTTAGGGCCAGTTTGGCATTGCTGTGCTGTGAAAATAATCGCTGTCAGATTTGCTGTGAGAGAAATCAGCTGTAAGATAAAGCAGTTTGGCGTTTGGTAAACTTTTTGTTAGAAGTATTGTTGGTACTGATTCCAGCATAATTAGAAAAAAAATTGCAGCATAATTATTAAACCCAGCGCCTCTTCGAAACTGATTCCTGCATAATCAGAAAATGAAAGCACCTCATTAGCTGCTTTCCCTTATAGCTTTCTCTCACAGCAATTTTTAACAATAAGTGATTTTCTCATAGTTTACCAAACGGGCTGGGCTTCCCAAGATTTTTTAAAAATCACTTATCACCCCAAATAAGCAATGCCAAACGGGCACTTACTCCTTCTTTGTTTTATGTTTATTTGTGGTTACTTTAGCCATCTTTATTACTGGATTAAAGAAAAAAAAATACTGAAAATGGAGTGCAAGTTGAAAAATTAACTATAAAAAAAAAGAAAAAATATAAAAGTAAAGTAAAAAGAAATTAATGAAAGAAATTAATGTAGGATAAAGGTCGAATAGAAAAAAAAGAAAAAAAAAGAAAAAAAAGAAAAAAAAAGTATTAAAAAGCAAAGAGAGTGTAATAACAGATGAGTAAATTTCTATTGTTCTGATTAGCAATATATATATTTTTCCTAGTGTTCTGATTAGCATTTGTAAGATCTATCACCAAGGTGCACCAACCCACACCATAACATAAAAAAGTTCGAAAATCCGAGGGCGCTACCGAAGCCACTCTCTCTTCTATTCCACATCGAGA